AACCAATCAAAATCAAAACCATCATTCAATACAAGAAGGATAGCATTACGACTCTCGACTTCGAGTTCATAACATAACATTACCACTAGGTCTAAGTTCGATGTACATAACCTTCCTAACATAATTTAATGTCTCATATATAATTGATTCATACATGACAAGGTTGTACTAAGATTACCTAGTCAATACATCTCATATTCATTTATCATTCATACATGTATCAAGTAAAGGATACAAGTCATTTAAAAAAAAGACACCACATTCTTTACTTTATCACATATAGCATATCATTCTTTAAAGCACTTAGGAATGACCATTATAATCTTTTAGTCATCCTATACATTACTATAACATCATCAGTATAACCATCATAGACTTATATAGTAATGTTGGAACAATCATGCATCAACTCTAAGACTACACAGATAAACATATAGTCATAGTCTAACGTGATGTCCAAATATACATAGAATGGACACATACTTTAATATTATTTCACATGTAGATAGATATTCTCATACTTCACATAAAATCAATTACATAAATCATCATAATACTTCAAGTAGTTTTCTGACAAGGACATAGTCATCATAATACATAAAGTAATGCCGCCAAGGCTACATCAATTGCAAGATAAGAACTTAACACCGCCACCATAAATGTACCATACCAATCACAATATAATTGAAGTATTATTAATATAATGTAAAGATAATTAGTCAGCGTACCACCACTCCATTCTCACCACTTCAATCCAAAGCTAAATAATAAAATTCAATACTATAAGGCCCTTACCCATGGACATAACCAATAATTCCATACATAAACATTGATATTCATTGAAAGTAGGTCAATTCAATATAGATTTATCAATAAAATACAACCTATATTAATTCAATAGAATTATTTCATCATTCAATAGACCATAGAAAACTACACTCATAAGCATTAAGACTGTATCACTTAACCCATAAAGTAGTCACAAACTAGGGTTCATAAATTACATTGGTTCATTGGTTAATTTAGTTAAAATAATAAGATTAATAAAAATTCCATAAATATTAAATACTTTAAAACTATTAAGGCAAAAACCGTTGGATAGATCATGAAATTGGACAAGTTCATTTATGAAAACTTTACCAAACTCTTTTAATTTTTGGCTCCCTGATAAATAGCGTTACAAGGATCAAAAACCATACCTCAGTGATGTTAATCCTTTAATTTTATGAATAATCTACACTCAATTATCCAATCCAAGATCTTTCTTGAGTTTTGGCTCCAATGGAGTTCTAGGGAATTTCCAAGGGAATTTGGGTTTAAATTTTTAAAAATGAAATCTTCAAAGTGCTAAAGGACTATAAACATGTTTACAATACCCAAAATAGACATTATTAACCTCCCATTCTCTTATTTGGATGTGGGGTGAATTTACAACTTCACTCGTAAACATTACAGTAACCTGCACACGAGACAGACCATCGTCGACTTGACCATCAACGGTGCGTCAGTCCAAAAACAAATCATCTTGTCCTCCGTCGATTGGTTTAGAGACTAGAAAGTGGTAGCTTAGCTCCCTATTTTATGTACCCAATGACACCCTCCTTCTACTTGGCGTCGACCAAGTCATAGACCGTCGGTTTCCTTCCGTAGGTGGGATTGCCTTAGGTAGTTTTTGCCACAAACATGTGTCCTTCCTCAACGACCCTTGGATGGTCCTTGGGGATATTTTCATAGACTTATCTAATCTAAATATGTTTGTATACGATTTAAGAAGCTCCCACATCAATTTCATCGAAAATGAACACGTAAAACTCAACGAAACATGCCAAGACACACAAGGTCGTTTCTGTTAGAACAAAAATACTCAAGAAACTGATTTGAAAAAAATAAAGATAGAGTGAACTTATGAAGTTCCTTATGGATATTAATCAATAGAAAGCCAGAATTTATACAAAGAAAAAACATAAACATTAAAACTAAAATAAGAACATGTGCCACTAACTACCATAAAAGGGCCACAAACAGCCACAATGGGGCCACTAACTTCAAAATGTTGAGGAACTAAAGTTGACTAAGTCTAGCTAGAAAATAGGAATCAATAAATTGAAATAAGTAAAAGACAGTAAAAATAATAATAAGCTGAAAAAATTTAAATTGTGTAACACTCCTCCTTGGCATTTTTGTGGCAAACACCAATTCTTTGCCTCTGATCTTCAAACCTTTCCTTTGGCAATGACTTGGTGAAAATGTCACCTAGCTGGTTCTCAGATGAACAATGAACAAGCAACACTTCATTAGATTATTGGACTTCTTTGATAAAATGAAACTTGTTCTTGATATGTTTAGTTCGACAATGAAACACTTGAGATGGAAACTGCTGAACTGTTGTTACACATGATCTTTGTAGCATTTGTATGTTCATGGACTAAGACCTTCCTTATCTTCCTTAGCCAGATAACTTGATTAACAGTAGATGCAGCAACTATGTACTCAACTTCTACAGTTGATTGAGCTGTAGTTTCTTGTTTTCTAGAGCTCCAACTAAAATAACTTGTCCCCTAACAGAAAACATATACAGATGTGCTTCTGGAATCATCAACTCCACCACCCAGTGACTTTCATAGTAGCCGATCAGGTTCATAGTTACTTAGGCAGATGTTGGGAAAAAATTTCCAAACTTGCTAGTTCCTTTAATATACTTTAACACTCTTTTAGCATCTTTGAGGTATGTGTCTCTAGGCGAATGCATGAACCTAGAGAGTAAACTAACAACAAATAGAATTTCAGGCCTGCTTGCAGTTAGATATATAAGACTGCCAATTAAACTTCTATACATACTATCATCTGTTTTTTCGGAATCCTCATCCTTTCCAAGCTTCACACCAGTAGATATTGGAGTACTCAGAGGTTCACTGTCTTGCATTTTGAACCTGTTTAAAATTGTGAAATGTATTTCTGCTTGCATATGAAAATTCCATCACTGGACTGCAACACTTCCATGCCGAGAAAGTAATTCATGACTCCAAGATAAATCATTTCAAAGATTTTCTCCATTTAATCCTTGAACCTTTGGATTAGTTTAATTTTGCTTCCTCTCACAAGCATGTCATCCACATATATTAAGATAATTATGGACTCACCTGCAACATTGACCTTCACATACAATGTAGCTTTACTTTGACATCTACTAAAGCCAAGATAGATGAGATAATTGTCCATCCTCTTATACCATGCCTTTGGGGCTTGTTTTAGGCCATACAAGTACTTTGTTTAGAGAATCTGCCAGGAACTATGAGATGCAAATGCAAGAATAAGCTTGATTGTGTCATACCTTGCGACAGGAGCAAATATTTCATGGTAATCCACCAAATTGTTGTGCGTATCCCTTCACCACCAATCTTGCGTATGTTTGCAAATTGTTCCATCAAGATTGAGTTCTGTCTTAAAAATCCATTTTACACCAATGCCTTTGCAATTTCTAGGTCTTTCAACAAGCTTCAAGGTTCCATTCTTCTCGATCATGTCTAGTTCTTCTTGCATAGCTCTCCTACATGCCTGAGAGTCTTGTGCTTCAGCATCGCTTGTTGTTTTAGAGCTAACCAAGTTACACCGCTGATAGACATATTTTAAGGATCGAGTTCCCCTCACTGGTACATCATGCACTAGTTCATCTTCTTAAAGTTGAGGTTACTCTATTTAAAATTAATCCGCATAAGAGGTCTTCTAATTTTTCGAATCCCAAGCACCTGCTTCATCAAAATTCACTTCTCGGCTGAGAATTAGTTTTTCTGATTTCAAACAAAAAGTCTTGTAACCTTTGGATGAACTATATCCCATAAATATGCGTCTTTGAACCTTTTTATCCAGCTTACTCCTTTTTATTTATAGAAATCGATAATAACATATACATTCAATGATTCTAGGATGGTGTTGATAGTTTGTTCCCACACCAAGCTTCATATATAGTCATGTCCTACAAGTTCTTAGTAGGCAATCTGTTCAACAAATATAATGAGGTATTGACTGCCTCAGCCCAAAACTGATTTGGGATCTTTCTTTCGAGCAAAAGACATCTGGACATCTCCATTGTTGTCCTATTCTTCCTTTCAGACACACCATTTTGTTTTGGAGTGTGTGGTAATTTCAATTGGCGTTCAATACCTGTGCTATTACAAAACACCACAAATTAAGAAGAAGTGTATTCTCCTCCATTGTAAGACCTTAAATCCTTAATACTAAGATTACATTGATTTTCTACTAAAGCTTTAAATTGTTTAAAAGAATCAAAGACTTCACTCTTCAGTCTTTTAAAATAAACCCAGCACATTGTGGTGTAGTCATCAATTAAGCAGAGAACGAATCTATTTTCATTAGGCCGCAAACATCCGTATGAATGAGTTAAAGTTTCTGGTTAGCTCTTCGTACTTGATTTGCTTGAAATGGCTAGTTTTTTTGCTTTCCATGTTGGCAAGTTTCACAAACATGAGCATTATAATGAAATTCAAGCATATTTTCCACTAGTTCATTTTTTTCATCTCGGCGATGCTTTTCAGATTGAAGTGACCAAACCTTTTGTGCCATGGGTTTCTACCTATTTGTGAAGTAATAGTGTAAGCCTGCTCAGTTATTTTCTCCCAATCTAGTGAAAACATTCTATTCACAATTCTTAAAATGTAGAGAATAATTATTTTCAAGCATTTGTCCAATACTCAAAAAAATTGACTTATATCAGGTGTGTACCAAGCATAAGAAACAATTTTGATACCTGATATTCTTGAGATAGACATTGTACCTCTGCCTTTGACTTCTACTACATCACCGTTTTCCACTTTTAATTTAGATTTGTAAGTATCATATAGGTATTTGAACAGTTTAACGTTATTGCACAAGTGATGTGTGCAAATATTTTTAAAAAGCCATGAATTAGAGGACTCACTGATTGAAAAGTATAAAACTGCAAGTAGTTGCTCTTCATGTGCATAGACAACTTCTGCTATTTGTCATTGCAAAGCACCACAGTCCTTTGCTCTTGATTTGAAGACCTTGGATACGTGTCCCTTCTGCTTACAGTTGCCGCATATATCATTGACTCTCGACCAACAATACTTCTCCAGATGTGTATTTCTTTTACAATGTTTGCAAGGAGGCAAGTTCTGCTTCACATCTCCACTATTGTTTCCTCCATCATGCTTGCCCTTATTCTTTTGGTGGAATTGTTTCTTTCCTTTTTGCTTTTGTACAGAGAAAGCTCCTTCAATGAACGTTTCCTGTCTCATAGTCCTCCTTTGTTTTTGTGATTGTAGAGCACTCATTAGTTCACCTAATGAAAGTTTGCTCAGGTCCTTGGATTCTTCAAGATAGGTAATCTTAGATTCAAATCTCTGAGGAAGAGTCATAACAACTTTCTCCACAATACGTTTATCTGTAAATTCTTCACCAAGAAGTCTAATGTTATTAACAATTAAGGATATTCAATCAGCATTCTTATTGATAGTTTCATCCTCATGTATATTCAGGGACTCAAACTCTCTTTTCAGGTTCAAAACTTGCATTTGACATGTTCTGTTGTTGCCTTGATATTCTTCTTTCAACCTATCCCAAGCCTCTTTTGCAGTTTTGCAAGCCAGAATTTTGTATAACACAGTATCTGCCACAACATTCTGCATAAGCAACATGGCTTTAGATTTATTTGCCTTCTCTTGGATGTTGAATTTGATCTGATCCAAGGTAGGATTTGCTGGTAAAGCATCAAGAGGTTTATCTTCCGTCACAATTTCCCAAAGTTCATAGGTTTCCAAAAAAGCTTGCATCTTCACAGACCAGATTTGGTAATTTTCACCATTGAAAGTGAATGGTGGATTTAAAGGTAGGTTGTTGGATTCCATTTTTGTTGTAGGACAATTTTTTTGTCCTATAATATCAACTAGAGGCTCTTATGCCACTATTAGAACCAAAAAAAAAACAGATTTGAAAAATTAAATATAGAGTGAACTTATGAAGTTCCTTGTGTATATTAATCAGCAGAAACTCTGAATTTATACAAAGAAAAAATATAAACATTAAAACAAAAATAAGAACATATGTCACTAACTACCATAAAAAGGGGCCACGAACAGCCATAATTGGGCCACTAACTTCAGAAAGTTGAGAAACTAAAGTTGACTAAGTCTATCTAGAAAAAAGGAAACAACAAAATTTAAATAAGTAAAAGACACTAAAAATAATAATAAAGTGAAAAAATGCCAATTGTCTAACAGTTACAAGGTGAACCTTTTGAATGTAATGGACGTGCTTGGACGTTTGATCTCAAAAATTCATTAAACCTGACACACTGCCTATAAAAACTAGAATATCTCATATAATTACCTCAGTAGATCATAAAATACACATATAATCATATAACCACTTATGAGGCACATAAGTGACTTAGTCGTCGAACGTCTTGGTCGTCCCTTGATGTTTACTTCCAAATTACCTAAAACATTAGAAATTGACTCAATACAACATTATATTACCATTTTAGAACATTAGACCATAATTATAACCATGTTATGATATAGCTTCACCTATGTCATTTTCGAGGTATTACAATTTCCACCACTTGGACAACATTTGTCCTTGAATGACACTTTCACTCTTCGAACACTTCGTATAATAGATATTAAGTTAACAACTCATGAACACATCATAAAAAACCTTATGCATTGTAAACATCTATAAGAAATATCAACTTCACATAATAAAGAGAATAACAATACAACAAGAAACTTAAATCAATTCTACAACTCATCATGCCATAAAGGTTACACCCTTCATTCCAAATAGTATAAAATCATTTTATATTCAATATCATTCTCATATACATCAATACTAGGAACCTTAAAAAATTTTTCAAGCAAATAATGAATTAGCCAATTTTCCTAAATCTTTACAGTAAACAGGTAGCCTTTACAGTGATTTACGCAAGTTTTCAAAAATGCAACTTTTTGGCAATTCATGATGGAAACATGCTAATATTAAAAATAAAATCATAAAAACACATGTTACAACATAATCATAACTTTATAAAAAGCAGAATGTAAGGAATCAATGAAATTTAATTGCAACAACACCTCTAAACACAATGCCATGAAACATACCTCTATCACTTTCTACTCTCAATCTTGAGTTTAATAGAAGATATGAGACAATCAGTCAAAACTCCTTTACTTACCATAATCCCTCACATAGAAAGAACTCATACTATAATAAAAGGAAGAAGTTACCATCATCACCATCATCATCCGTCTTTTCTCCCCTAGTCTGCATTGTATAGAAATGCCTCTTACTTGGTGCTTCAACCTTTGCTTACCCTCTCTTCCTCTAGCCTCAATGTTAAGACAATCTCTCACTTTATGATCATCCTTTCCATAACCAATGAATCCACTAGTACCGGCTAGACACTTCCCATACTGACTTTTTCCACAAGTGACACATATATGCTTTTCATTTTGAGAACCACCTACTCTCTCAAATTTCCCCTTAGCACTCCTAGATTCTTCTTGAGTTTGATACCACCTTTTGAACCTAGGTTGACCTTGATCATTTGAACCACTCTTTTTAAAGTTTCTAGCAATCCTTACAAGTTTAGACTCCTCAATTGATTGAGCATACACCACGAGTCTATCTAGGGTCATATAATCATGTATCATGGACATACGACATTCTTCCCTCACTAAATTGGCGAACCCGGTCACAAATATACTCATCTCATCCCTCGGATTAGACAGAACAGATACAACATATTTAGACACCATAGAGAACTTCAATAAGTATTCTTCAACACTCATATTGCCTCACTTGAGATTATTAAACTCCTCTACCTTAACCTCTCTCCTATCATTGGGAAATTACTTTAGAAGAAAAGCTTCCTTAAATTCTTCCCATTCAATAAGACCCAATTAAACAAGCCTATTGCCTTTCGTTGTGTGGACCGCACTTGAACAACATCTTTCGATTGATAGGAAGCCAACTCCTCTTTCTCTCTAGAAGTCACTCAACATGCAATATATTATACACCTCATCTAGAAACTCTTGGGAATCCTCTCCAACCTTAGAGCTGAGAAAGATAAAAAGATTCATTCTCACAAAGTCTCTTAACCTAGACGTCATAGTGCTCTCCACTACTTCCACTCTAGATTCAATACCCATATTCACATGGGTAGACAAAGCTCGAGCTATAGCAAGTAAAGTCTCTCTAATCTTCCCATTGTTCATTTTTGGGGGAACCACAAGAACATAATTACCTCCACCTTTAATAGGGACTTTATCAACTTGATCACATTAATTACCTAGAGCACGTTGAGGAACATGAGAATGTTGGGGAACTTTCTCAATTTTCTCAACTCGAGGAGGAACTTCCACATTCAAATAATTCTCCTCAACTATCCTAGCCGGTGTCTTCCTCGTATTCATCTTCCTTGAAACACAAGGAAACCCATAAGAAAATAGTAATCATAACTTTTACTCTACGGTACAACATAGAAGTCACAAAGAAGAGAAACTCTATCTTCCTATAGCCTCTCGCCCATAGATGTGTCGCAATTTACACTGATGGTTAAGACTTTACTAAACGTAACTTGATAAGAATTTTTGATTCCTAAGACCACTTTCATAACCTATGCTTTGATACCAACCTTTTAATGACCCGAGACCACACCTTAGAAGTTAAAGCAAATATTGGATTGCGACACACGTACTTGACCTCTCGGAGGTCTTGTACAAACCATTTCATATCGTTCATCGCATATTAACATATGAAAAGTAGTGTGGAATTAAAATTTTTCATAAACATTTTATAAGTTTTTAAAAACTCTTTTATATAAAACTAACAGGAAATACTAAGTCTCATTTCATCAAATCTTAGACAAAACATTACTTTGGGAAACAACCCATACACAATAGAAATAACTACTACTAATTCTATTACAATACTTTGATAAAGGAAATAAAAAACATCTATGCCCTCGAGTCAAATGAAGACATACTTCAACTTGCTTAAATGATCTTCTAATCCAAGCTTAGCTCTCAAACAGAACCTTGATATATAGATCACTTTAGAGATACCTAAATTCATGGAATTAGGATATACACATGTAATAAGTATAGCATAATGTATTAAAAAAATGAAAACAGACATTTATTAAAAAATATACATCTTTTGATTTAAATATCATAATGTAATAATAATGACAACATTTAACAACTTGAAAACACATAAGAATTCACTTAAACAATTTAGAAAATTTTTAGAAATTTTACAATAAACTCAAGTCACTTTAGAATGACTAATTTCCAATGTTACAGTGAAGTTCCTTACTTCACAGTAACACCTTCGTAGCATACGTCAGTCCCACACTAAAATATGTCCTAAGTCGCACTTAATTAATACAAAGAGAGAACGCCCATACAACCTCTATAGGGACATCTAAATGATACTTAAGACAACCTATAATGAGTTATACACACTCATAATAGATCAACAACATGAACATGAGATTCTCCTATCAAAGATGATTCTAAGTCTCACTTGATTGAGTTGCGAAGAGACCTCCCGTACAATCCCTTAAACACACACCTAACAGTTCGTATAGACTACCAAAGATAGAATACTTCTCACTTAATACAACAATATATAGATGATATGACATTAACCTTGCATAGGCTATCAGAAGACTTACTTAAGTAAATCAAGAAGATAACTTCCATGATTGACCTCTTTAAGATTACCTAAATAATCCTTAAGAATACCTAAGGCTTAGATAATGTATACATAATAAACAATCTTTCCTTACTAGAGTCATTCTTATGACTAATCCAGGTAAGACACGAAGTGACCATTCGTATGCCCCCTTCACAACTTAACTAGATAACCCTTAACGACTCTAGAGAAGTACTCATTTATTTACATGATTTCTTAATTTAAGCAATTACATTCATTAGTTCATTGAAGACTCATTCTTCACCTAAGGACATTCAATTATTGGTCTTTGAGAACAACTAGGGACTCTAACTAACTCCTTTAAAGCCTATAGTGCAATGTATAGATAAACTCTCATACCACCACCTAAACTTTCTAGAACTTATCTAATACTAGTAGGTATGCCACATGATGAGAATATGAAATAAACCACATAGACCATGATAGCTAGACACGGAATCCGGAGTTATAACCTACTCCAATGAGGGTGCTCTACATTCCAAGGGTAGAACCAGGACAAATCACATGTAAGTGCATGGTAAGTGGACCTTCTCAAGTAGAGATACTTCCCATAAAATACTCACTCGATGCTAACTTTTGTTCCCAGAGAGTATTGACATTAAAGGTTCATGTAAATTGGTTCCTTACCAAGTTCATAAACCAATCACATTCACGCTACCAAAGAGGTCCACTAGGCCTACCTTACAATTGCGACATAGATAGATCATCATGACTTTCTTAAGGATTCCAGCCAATCAAACTAATGTCCATCATTCATTACAAGAATAATATCATTAAGACTCTCAACATCAAGTTCATAACATAACCTTACAACGAGGTTTAAGGTTCCACGTAAATGACCTTTATAACATTATTTAAGGTCCCACATATAATTCTTTCATTCATACATGACAAAAGGGTGAAATAACCTTACCTAGTCAAGACATCTCATATTCATATATCATTCATACATGTATTATGTAACGGACACAATTCTACAAAAATAAGACACAACATTCTTTACTTTATAACACGTAGCATATCATTCTTTCAAGAACTTCGGAATGGTCCTTATCTTCTTTATGTCATCCTACACAGTACTATAATATAATCAATATAACCATGATAGACTCATATAGTCAAGTA